CAAGATCAGCATAGCTCTTCATCACGAGCTTGAAGGCTTGCCATTCTGTAATCGCGAGTAATTATTTATTACGGTATTGTCACAATGCCGGGATACATTTTCGATCGTATTTTTAATTTATTTAGTTTAAAATACATGCTGTCCACCTCAAATTAGTAGTGGCTTGCCGCTGAACATCATACTTCCTTGCTAGCAATAGAGTAGTGTAGGTCACGTATCTAACACTTTTCAGTGGAAAATATTTGAATTGAAATAAAGTGATTTCCGGTTGGTATAAAAAATTTATATAGGCCTATATTTAATCGGTGCCTATCTTCGATTACGTTTCCACATTTTGAATTCTCTCTTATTTATCTAAGTCCCTTCTCCAGATTAAGGAGATGGGCAGACATACACAGTAGGAACTTATAGGTCGACAATTTTTTTCAAATTGTAGCCCAACAAATAATTTAAACTAGCAATGTAAAAGCAATCTAAAAACTTTTTTGAAAACATATTTATATCGTTAATTAATATTGAAATCTTTTAAAATAAACAATGTCTTGAACACAACAACTGCAATTTGCTTATATCTTGATTTATAGCCTATTATTATTATTTAGAATTCAAATCATGTTCTCCATCTGAATTATAAGTCAGTTGTTCTAAGGTGAGGAACATTAAAATGTATGAGGAAAAAGCTTAAGTATTATATAAGTAATTTTATAAATATAATTTTTCAAATTAACCATTTGCAACATTCGATAGGTTTCACTTTCAAGCGCAACTTCGGGATTTCAAATCGTCTCTAATCTTCGTGTATTCGTGTACAGTGAGTTATTCTTGAATTATACTTTTTTATTTTTATACGATATAATTGTCTTTAATTATTTCAATTAATTAATCAAATTCGATTTTAATAATCGTTCGTCTTAATTAAAGTATTATTTGAGCGTGATATAAAATAGAGTAAATATTTTTTTTTTATGTTTTGCAGAATTTCATTAATTATCAATAAAATATTCAATATAATTATGTGAAATTTTAGTCAAAGTTTAGTATAGAAGTGTTTAAATAGCAGTAATAATTACTTAAATATATTAAATAAATTAACGTGTTACTTCAATTGCTGTGTAAGAAATTAAAATATAAACTTACTTTTAATTATTTGCTGTCACTATATGTGCCAATTTTATACGAAATTCCACATTAAAACTTTTTTATAAGGTTTATAGTTATTTAAATATCAATTACTAACGTAACAATGCCGAAGGGCCTCCCTATTCTTCAGCACCACGTGACCGAAGGGTCGACATCGCGTCGGCGAAGATCGCAATGACAAGCTTCGTCAGGACTGACACAGAAACCGTTGTGTTCTCGCGCGAATGATCGCGTGTGTGGAGATAGCGCACCGGAAGTGACTTACTCAGAGACGGGTTAACGTAACAACTATTTAATGGGTAATTATAGAACATACAACATTTCGATTTTAAATATGCTAGATTTTAGATACATTTCTACGATTGATAGATATTAAATATATATATAGGATATTAACGGTTTGTGCGATTCCCGAGAGAGAGAGAGAGAGTTTACAGATGTTGCGCGTGGCGATAAATACCTTTTTTTGATATCTTGATTGAGATTCTCGAACGTTCTTTGTGAAAGAGAGGAAGTTCGGGATATCAGTTCGGGTATCTTGTAGAGGAAATATCCGTAAGCCTGATGGAACGCACAGTATCCGCAAAGGTGTTAGACGATGGTTTCCGATGATATTTTAGTAGGATATAAAAACGTAAAATAAAATATATTCACAGATATCCGAATATTGAGGCATTTAGGACAAGGTACAGGTGACAACTTGACTCTTTCGAAGGACGGGGGACGACTGGCTCACTTTGATGTTCTGTTCTAATGTTGTAATGTTGAAATCGAGATTTTAGGTCGAAAGGTGATGAGAAAGCGTCGTTATTAGACCTGAGAACTTAACAGATGTTTAGCTCCCAGGTGTAAAAGTTGACAGTTATTTATCAAGTTTATAGTTATGTGACGTTGTGAACAAATGATGTAAACACACGGAAAGTCTGGATTCGGATCCTCACACTAATTAACACTATGTTAATTTAATTAGAATTACTATGTGGAATTCTATGTAATAAATTGTTGACTATATTTTTGATAAAAATATACAGTTTACGTAATAAATAAATAATACCTTCTGTTATTATAAAGTCGAAATAATTTCTCTATTTATATAATTACGTTACGGGTTAAGCATTAATTTCAATGACATTCTATAAAAGAAAAATTTTTTAATCATATTATTTTTATTCATTTTACTATTTTTCTTTTTTTACGACTGATTTATTTTAGTTGTATATAATGAGTATTTAATTATTTTTTAAAATTTGTACTAATAACTTCTCCAGACGTCTAGCCCACCCATGTTAAAGTTCTTCTCATCATTCTTTATAACAAGTTGGCATTTATCAGTCCATTATATGTGGTATTTAGCCTCTTATTTTCCTCTTATTTAGTGGCAAAATTTGTTTCCATTTTTTATTTTGTTGATGGTTAGATAATTTAATAACTTTGTATACTGCTGATTTTGACACATAGCTGGCGGGGATGAAATTTCCCTAAGATCCATTGTAGAAATGCTAACTTTTCTGCAAATGAATCTTTTCTGACGAGAATTCGGTGCAGGGGTTCTTCCAGTTAACGTTTCCCCCATATTTTCCACTAAAATTGATGTAATTTGCCACAGGATTAGAACGATTTTCTTCTTCCCATTTTAATTTATTATGTGTGAGAATCTAGAAATTGGAAGGGTCATTTTGGGCAAAACAAGGAGAGAAAAAGATTTATAAATTAATAGAAAATAATATTTTAAACTTCAACGAATTTTACAAAAACGGATGTCAAAAGAAACCTTCGATTTTAGAAAGGAAGTTGTTTTTTCTTTCCACGGCCGACTCATGAGATGAGTCGAGCTTTTGCACACGCTACTGGGCCGATATAAAAGGGACATTTTCCCGCCATTCGAGGAGACCGTCATACGAAGGGAGATCGCCATTCAGGGAGTCTGCCATTCGAAGTGTTCTCCATACGATATAGAGAGCCCGTCATACAAGTCTGTCATACGAATTCGTTAATTGAAAGTCATACTACAGAGTCTTCCATACGAAGTATAGAGTCAGTTATACGACAAGATCGTCAAAGTTATCTTTAAGGGAAAGTGCCATAGAAATTATGAGAAGAAGAATATCCATAATTACAGAAGATTCTCATACATTGAAATATTGAAAGAACTGAAAAGGTAATATGATAACGGTTAGATCTATGTGAACTCTCTCTCATGCGTCAGGTTTAAAATAAGATAGGTTTAAGTTAGTTATTTAGATTTAGGTTTAAGAACGATTTGTTATTCATTCATTTGTATACTTTTGATTTATTAAATTTTTTGGTTTATTTTATAAATATGGTCTGCTTAATGTTAGATATTCACACTTATACTTATTCAGGTTACTTGCGTTCTTCATACTCGAAATTCCGTGATAACGTGTGTTAACCCGCGTGTAATAAAACTGATTAACTAGTATCAACATCCTGACGTGATCTAGACCTTACCATGTAGATCTTTTTAACATATTATTTAAAGCCCATCACATATTATTTTAGGAGAAATAATATGTGAGCCAATCTAACAATTGTGTGTCAGTAAGTGACATATGTGAGAAATCAGGGGCATAAGATTTACCTATGTATTACAGAACTGTATTTTGTAGAAATTCATTCCTAATGCACTACTGTCTTGTATTATATATTATGTTGTGTTTTATTCTGCATATTAATTGCAATTTATCTGCTGTAGCAGAGTTGTGTTTCATTTTCGGAGAAGTATATTCTAAAGAACATCGTTAAAATTCATTTATATTGTTAATTTTTCTGATTTTTGATAAAATTATTAATACACCTTATCATAATACAGTATATCAAAAATCAATTCGCTTTTATTGTTTTGTACCGTTCTTTGCAAAGAAATACGATAGGAAAGAAATGGATGTTGTTGTGGAAAATGACAAAATATCAGAAGACAGTTAGACAAATTGGGCCAAGTGATAATTAATGATATGTTAATTATGGAGCTCTATATTCATCTAGTAGTGGCACTCTATATTTACTAATAGTATAATTAATAATATAAAAGTTATTTTTTAAATAAAAACTAAACAAACTTTAAATTTAATTAAATTAATATTTGGTTATTCTATTTTAATATTTTAAAAATTATTAATATTAAAAAAATTAATATATTATTAAAATAATGGCAAATAACACATAACAATATGAATTAATTATTAATACTTAAAGTAGATAAACTAAAATATGCACAACTTTCTATACAATGAATTAAAAATAATCCGTGTATTACATTAATGTATGTTTTTTGGGAAATATTTTCGTGTTCTGTTTGAAATTTTTCTTCATTTTTACTTTACCGTGTCTGTTATATATAACAAAAAAAATCAGTTAAAAAATAACCCCCACAAAATTTTATATTTTTGGACTCAGGAAATCATCAAACGTTGAAAAATACAAAAAAAAAAACGTCGGGAGTTGTTCTGTATGTATGGACGAACACCTACCTTCAACAGAATATTTACAGAGGCTGCCCCCAGGGATCAAAATCCGGACCATATCTCTGGAATGTTATTTATAACGACTTACTAAAACTCCAAAACAGCATCCCCAAGGAATACGAGGCTCACATACAGGGGTATGCTGATGATACGGTTCTATTGCTCAGCCATGTGAACAATGAAGTCCTCCAGGAAAGGATAAACAATACACTGAAGCTCATATCTAACTGGTGTGAAAAAACTAAGCTAATAATTAATTATAAGAAATGTGAAGTGATTGTTTTCCCGAAAGGGAACATCCTTAAGAAAGGTCCTAGCATTAAGATCAACAACATCAAGATAAAGAATCACACGGCTGTTAAATATTTGGGCATAGTTATGGACCAGAAACTGAACTGGACAGACCATGTTCACTATGTCTATGAGAAAGCAACGAAAACTGCCCAGGCCCTAAAAACTATTTGCAGGAACCGGTGGGGTTATGGCCCTTTGACAAGCAGGACTCTCTATATAGCGGCAATTGAGCCTATCATCACATACGGAGCAGAAATTTGGGGCTCAGCGGCCACCAGAGTACATATTCGTAGGAAGCTCCTGTCAATCCAAAGGCTGTTAGGTATCAATGCTGCCAAAGCATACAAGACAGCCCCCACTGAGGCCCTTCTTGTAATTAACCGGACTTTGCCCATTGACCTAAAGGTCAAAGAAATTTTCTTAAAATATAATCTCGACAAAGTGGCCAAGAAAGAGACCAGCCTTGAGCATTTTAACAACATAATAGCAAAAGAGAAGCACTGTGAGGATATCAATTCTCTTGCGGAGCTTCTCATCTCCAATGGTTTTGACAAGCATTATGACTACTACCCCATCCACCCCAGTTTTGTCCCATCTTACAGCCTCGACAACAGCTACAATGAGAACCACAACATCCATATTTATACTGACGGGTCCAAGGCTCCTGAGGGGGTGGGCTGTGCGGTCGTAATCTACAAGGACCAGCAGTGCCTATATCAGGCATGCAGGAAATTAGCTCCGCACTGTACCAACAATCAGGCGGAGTCTCTTGCCATCTACCTTGCCATAGATTGGATTCTATCTAATCAACACAACTGGAAGAATCACAGCTACGGAATATTTAGTGACAGCAGGATAGCAATCCAACAGATCATTAAACTTAACTCCACCCTCCCCATTGTTAATGACAGCATCCGCAAGCTTCAAGAACTTACGGCTCTTAACATCAGGGTGGACTTTCATTGGATCAAGGGTCATTCAGGGATCACGGGGAACGAGCGGGCTGATCTTCTTGCTCGGAAAGCACGTACTTTGGCCTCCACCACTTCTTACACTGGCATCAGCAAAAACTATGTCAAGAATGAGATACACAAGATTATCCTCAAGCTCTGGCAGTCCCGCTGGGATAATGGGGACACGGGAAGGCTCACCCATAGCTTTTTCCCATCTCCCACCGACAGTATGCACGACCCACGCTACACCACCTTCCAGCTTACTCAACTCCTTACAGGTCACGGGAATTTAAACTCCTACCTCAAGAGGTTTCTCAATAAGACTGACGGTCAGTGTAACTGCGACCTGAAGGAAGAGGAAGAGCCTGTGCACGTTATCTTCCACTGCCCTTTCCACATTACTCATCGTAAGAAACTGGCAGAGACTGTTCAGGCAAATGGGCTCAACTGGCCTTGCACTCTCAAAGACTTCACTATTGATAAGAACAATTTCAAGGCCCTGAAGAAATTTGCAGCTGATATCAAGAAGCTCGACTAGATTGTATCTTCCCTATAGTTGATGATGGACTTTCAACTACCTATGGAACTGTGTTTATCATCTTGCATCTTTTGGTATCGGCTTAATTGGAATTAGCTACCTTTTATAGGTACGCTTTTGTGTCTACTTGTCTCCACTTATTGTATTCTCCGTGTTTATTGCCCTTACATTTTCAGCTGTTTTGTAACCCGCGATTACATCTGACATTGTCGGTCAACTCCTACTGTTAACCTCTTTATACTGTGTAAATAATATATGTCTCTGTCCCACGTGTATTTTTGTATACTCCAAATTACTATTGTCGCGCCTACCAATCTTGTAATTATATTTCTATGTATGTAATTCTGTAATAATCCTATTGTTATTTTGTACTGTGTTATTATTTAATAAATGCGATGCAGGCGCCCAAGGGTCCCATGACCCTGGCTACTTTTTCCCTCTATCCTATCTCACTTTACTTCTCCTTACTCTTACCCCTTCTTACACTCTCAACTCTTCCTCCTTTTCTACTCTGAACATGGGCTATACCTCTGTGTGAGGCCCTTATCTTTCTCAGCACTGTATGTATGGACGTTAATGTCAGACGGCACAATTTTGTTCATCATCTTTGAAGATTTATAACTCATGTGCTTTTTGTCCAAAATTTCTCAAATTATACAGAGCGATTTGTGTATTAGAGTCATAGATGCTACTAAATTTCAGTTGTTAAAGGTCGAGGAATAGTGTGATAGAGGGCGTCGCGTGTCATATCTTGAGTAAAATCATTAAGACTCAAGTATCTCCAGTCTTAATGATTTTGCTCGTTATTAATCTTTACATTTTTTTATAAAAGAAATTTCTACCAACAATATTGATTTTTTGTGATTTTACAATAATAAAAAATATCAACAGTGTTTTTTTTTTTTTTTACTAAAGTAGCATAACAGACGGCTTGAAACGCAGTACGGCAGCTTAACGCTGCCGGAAAAGCTAAGCAACTGATTCCTGGATTTTTATAATTGTAAAGTATCTCTCATTTTCTTTAAAATAAAATTAACTTCTAAACTAATAACCATACCAGTCAATTCTTGTTCAAAATTATTTTTGAAAATCAATACTGTATTCTGTTTTCTCGAAAAACCGCAATTTATCGAAAGCTTGTTTTGTTGCGAATATTAATAATTACCCTGTCAATAATTAACCAAGGTGCAAACAATTGTAAAAAAAAACACAAACAGTTATGAAATTTTTCAAGTCATTTCAAATTTGACATTTTAAAGTAATTCATCCCATGTCACTCTTTTTTGTATATGTATTCTATTTTCATAAATGTTGATAATGGTCTACGCATTTAAACCGTGTTTTATTTAAAAGTAATTTTTTCAAACTTCTACTTGGTGCGAAACCAGAAACTGTCATTTGCAGAAAATTTTCGCAGTTTATGTTATATTAATGGTAACAGAAAACGACTTGATACAACACATTACAAACATTTTCAATTTATTCTTTAATATTTTTCTATTGTTACAATTGTTTAGAGATTCAATATTGCTATGACGTTTTTCAAAGTTTAATTTTTTTCTTTTTCAGAAATTTATTGTACGAATTAAGAAAAACAATATAAATCAGTTGCTATAAAGTATACTGCAAAGAACGGAATAATGAAGATAACTTGTATAAGCGACTCATTATCCTTTCAATTTAAAAAACTCGGTAGAATTATAGCACGACATCCAATTTACATTATCCTTGCATCAGTGCTTCTGTCAGTTCTACTTTCCATGGGATTACTGAAACTTAAAACATCGGAACATGTAGATTATCTAGTAAAGTCTGACAGTGGGAAGATCTACAAAGATAAACAATTCATTGAAAAAACATTTCCTATAAACACATCTCATTTCTATGATTTCACGAGAATTACCGATCGTCCACAAGCGGCAATGGTTTACATTAAAAGTAAATACGGAAACAATTTGATACAAAAAGACAATTTACTCGAAACGCAACTCTTGGATGAAATTATTAAGAACATAACGATTATTGTAGATGAAAAAGTAGTAAATTACAGAGTGATTTGTGGAATTGTGAACGAGAAGTGTATGGAAAATCCCATAATAAATATAATGTCAGAAATGGATGATCTGCTTTCTGGAAGAAAAAAGTTGAAATTTCCTATTCAAATTGATTCGTTTACTTACAAATACGATATTTGGTTAATTAACCTTGGAGGAGTAAAATATGACGAGGAAGGATATGTTAAAGAAGTAGAATGTATGAGACTTGTTTATCCTGTTGACGAATCTAATTTCAATAAAACACATTGGATTCGGGAATGGCGTAAAGCGTTTCTGTCGAATGTCAACAAATTAAACTTTCATTCTATTGAAGTATACCCGTGTCCAATATTAGCTACTGAATTAGATGTTGAAGTTCTTGCTAAGCAGATTATACCTTTGATAGGTGTTGCTTTTATTGTGGCAACATTTTTTTGCGTAATGACGTACATGACGAATAGTTGGGTAAGAAGTAAACCGTGGATGGGAATTGCTGCAGTTGTTTCTGCTGGATTAGCAGTGGTATCTTCTTTCGGACTGATGAGCGCATGTGGAGTAGAAAACATTAAGTATAATGTTGTACTGCCGTTTCTAATTTTTGGTAAGTATAAATTTGGAAGTTCAGTTTAGTTACAGTGACTAGACTTATGTAGTGGCAAATGGAATTCGTTACACCTATTTGGCGCTCATGCACACTAGAGACATTTTTATCAAAACACTGCTGTGCATGAAAGTATTCACCTCTGGCGAAAAAATACTGTACTAGGAATAAACTTACTTCATAGGTCAAATTTTTGGCTATCAATTAAGATTAAGTTAATTACGTTTCTATTTTTTTATATGACTTATTTACGTTTAAAAATTTAAAGGCTTGAAACATTATCATTATATAAAGTTAAAAATCAACAATATAGGTTTACTGAATACTAATTATTTAATTTAGATTATTGTCTCCTAGTAAAATCTCTTTATCTTCTATTAAACTATACAGGCATATAATATTAAAATACACTTTTATTTTTACAAGGTTTCGTGTTGTGTTTCGTACTCCAAGTAAAGATATAGGCTTTTCATATCAAGACTATACTTATTTCTTAAACATTTCTTTATTTCCACAATAAAACATATGAAATTCTATTAATTATAATGACTGCTTTTTCGAAAGTTGTAAATGACACAACTATTGACGTTCTAAAGGTACACTTTAAACGTAATTTTTATATAAACAATGATGTTTGTTGTTTCAGTGTTTTTGTTTAAGTATGTTTACTGTTTTTCACTGACTTTTTGTTGTTTAGTGAAAAATTTCTGCACATCTAATCCTAATCACAAAAACGAGACTTCAGACGTCCAGAAAAAATATGGATGGCGGTAATAAAATGTCATGAGTGATAGTAGTTTTACCAAAGCAAACTGTCTAGTCATCATAAGGTGTTCATAAACATGTAGAAGACATCAAAAAGTCTAATTAAAAGGGAGCAAATTAATATAGTATTTTTCAAAATAATCATCCCAACTTTAAATATATATTTTAAGTGACTTTTTTCAGTTCGTGAAACATTTATAAAAGTCACTTTTTATGATACAAATTATCTCGGCTGGATGGCCGAACGGTCAAGGTTACAGCCTACCAATTTGGGGGATCCGTTTTCGAATCCAGACAGGTAGAAAAATACCCAAAAATTTTTCAAGGGTGGTTCATTTAGATATGTCGAGCACTATCCCTCACCATCCAGTTGGCCCATTGTAGGCCTGGTCGAACCCGTAATGAGCCTGCTAGAAAGAGGCCCTTTTAGTGCCCACAGAATGGAAGAGTTAAAAAAAAACCACAAATGATCCACAATAAATGAAGTAAGAGAACTTCACGTATATTCTTCTAGTACTGAAATCGTTTTATTTTTATATTCGGAGTATTGAAAAGTCTGTAGCAACTAGTACATTTTTCGGCGAGTTTTTACTTTTCCAAATTAATAAAATGTTTTACGAAAAATTTCGAAAATTTTGCGATTGCTGAAGCTCTATAATGTTCATTTTACAAACTTTATTGAAGATTATATGAAATATAATTTATTTATTTATCATTTTTACATTATTTGCAGCTATAGAGATAGACGACGCCTTTGTGATAGTAGCGAATTGGAGAATTACAAAAGTTCAAGATAGCGTAGAAGCACGAATGGAGAAAACTTATTCCAAATCTGCAGTTTCTATAACCATAACAACTTTAACAAATATTTTATCTTTCTGCATAGCGATGACTGCAGAATTTCCTGGTGTGAGGATCTTCTCTTATTATGCTACTACTTGCGTGTGCTTCACTTATTTCTACCAGATTATGTTTTTCGGATCGTGTCTAGCTCTTAGTGGATACAGAGAACAGAAATCACTCAATGTATTTACATTCAAAGCTGTGAAAGGTAATGACTTTTTTTTACATTAAACAGATTAAAAGTAATAATAAACAACGCTTTTTTGCCAGATAAATTAGACAGAATTAGATAACCTAAATAGGGTATAACAATTTGCAGGGCTTATGAAAGAAGGCCGACTGAAAGAAGGACCAGAACTTTTATTTAAAAAAAAAAATTTGGTCTTTAATAATCACATATCAAATTTAGGTAAGTATGCATTTCGGGTAGAAGGACCCCTCATCAGCTTACAAACACATGGTAACAACGTAACAAATACAATACTAATAACCTGCCAATACAACGGGATAACCAATATATGCAGTGCACTGCATTTACAATTTCTCAATGCATACTAGATATCGACTCTTTCGTTTGCAAAATTAATTTAATTAATAAATAAAAATGTTCAATTCCAATGTGAAAAAGAAATAGATAATAGACTGAATTACTTAGAACTTACTATTGTTAGATTAAATGGTAAATTATTATTTAAAAAGTATGTTAAAGACTGTGCTACCGGTAAAGTTATAGACTTCAAATCTAATACAGTCGACCCCCTATAACACTGTTGATTATTCCGTTTTATATGAATTCGTAGTGACTCGTACAACATGGAATTCATATAACACTTAATAATCAACAGTGTTATAGGGGGGTCGACTGTATACCTTTATATATAAAAAAAAGAACACTTTTCAGATGTATATCAACAAAATTAAAGAAAGAACGACATTGCAAACCGATCAAGAAATGGAAATACAAAATATAATAAGAATGTTTAGCCCAAATAACTACTCTAGAACATTATTGTTTAAATGGTTGGAAATGTAAGGTCGCCGACTTTAGGGGGGCAATACGTTAATTGCGCGTCAGGAAAACCTAGGGTCAAACCGTATGTGGGTGGTGGCGGTAGGAGACAAAAATGACAAGTGTCTTACAAATACCGTTTATTTTTATCATAAAGTTAACTTACATAATGACAATAACAATGCGGTCTAGATCGGCTTTGGTGGGAGCTCCTTGATGTCGACGAACGGGCGCTGACTGGTGTCCCGGGCTTGACAGGAGAGTGTCCGTTGCACAGGGGCCTCTGTCCAGTGATGTTGCGGATGCACGTAGATTTTGGTCACTGGTAGAGAACCTTGTCCGAGTGGAACCTCCGAGGATTGGCTGAGAATTCCTTTTCGAAGAGAATCGGCTGAGAATCTCCCCTTTGTCCTTGAGATTCGGGGGTTTTATAAGATTTTCCCCGAATCTCACCCTTTTGATTGGTCCCGTTCGCCCTCTCCCTTACCCCGATTGGTCATTCCTTTGTTTCTAGGCGAAACTTGAGACCGATCCGGGTCGGGAAAAGGTTGGAGAGGTGATGACGGGGCTTTTAATGTTTGCGCTCGTATTTTTCTCCGTTATGGCCCTTCTCTCGGATATCTTTGAACTTAAACGGTCCACCAGATGTTCCTGTGGCCATTTATCCCCTACCGCGTTCGGATTTAACAGATGTCCCTTTTGTTCTTAGACCCCCCTTTTTCTCGCTTGCTTCGACCCGACACCTGTTCGCGCGCATCTCGACAAAGCTCTTTCTCTCTGTCGACATTCCCCCCTGTTGTTTATTATCGTGTCGCGTTTGTTATACAATTCAAAAAAGTGTTCGTCCCATCTGGGTTCTGTCATTAACACACCCTCTTCACCCGATTCTATCTTCGAAACTCTCTGACGTAAAAGTTTCGTAAATAGTCGTAATTTCGACGCGCTTTTACGACCCTCACAGAAACAAGTAAAGGCAAAAGGAAAAATGTTACGTTAAATAGACAACCAATAGCTGTTAAGACTATCTAAAAATAGAACATGTTTTTGGTGTTTTTGAACAATTAAAAAACGAATTAAAAAGATTAGATATTAATTTAGTACCAAACAACGCAAGAACCATAGCAAAATTGATAAACAGTAAACATGAAAATAATGTATATAATGATTTAGAAAAAGATAATGTACTGTAGTTTATTCATTAGATTGTAATTGTTCACATAAAAAGATATATCGGGGAAACTGGAAGAAAATTAAAGACGAGGATTAAAGAACATATATATGCCATTAAAAATAATTTGATATCATCATCAGTGGCATTGCAACACTGAAGGTTACGAAATTTTAAAAGATAGCATCAAGTGTATTATGACAGAAAACAATCAACTAAAAAGACTACAGAAACACCTAGAAATTCTGAAAATACAGGAAGACATCAGAATTAATAACAACATGGAACTGAAGCTACATGAGGGGTGGGTTGACATAGTTTTCACTTAACCTCGAAACAGATGCTGAACAGATGTAGGGAGTATAGTCACATCACTTTGTAAAATGCAGATAGACAGTGCAATTGACTTCACAAAAGCTTATAGATCAGATGTATTTTGTTTGTGTTAAAATCTGGAGACCAATTGGTTTTAATAAGAGTAAGTTCATTGTTATCTTCCTTAACCCTATTTTGTGTTTTTTAATATACTTAACAATATTTATTATTAATAGTGTAACCGTCTACCAGAATTTGGAAAATGTAGGAGAAACTAAGACATTTACTGGTCCCAGATAATATGTTATACCACATTGTCATTGTATTCTAATTTGTACTTGATGTTTTAGTGTATGGGTTACATTGAGAAATTGTAAATGCAGTGAACTGCATATATTGGTTATCCCGTTGTATTGGCAAGTTATTGGTATTGTATTTGTTACGTTGTTACCATGTGTTTGTAAGCTGATGAGGGGTTCTTGTACCCAAAATGCATACTTACCTAAATTTGATATGTGATTATTAAAGACCAACTCTTTTTTTATAAAAGTTCTGGTCCTTCTTTCAGTCAGTCTTGGTGTGATGAGCCCTGCAAATTGTTATACCCTATTTAGGTTATCTAATTCTGTCTAGATTAAAAGTACTTTACATATACAAGTTTTGGATTGCAGTCAATATAATTTAATTTTCTGGAAATGAAGCATTTCCTCGAAATAAATATTTCCATAAACTTATTTTTACCTATGTAAGTATTCGTTCCAGCTCTGTTATATGTAACAGAGGGATATAGTATGGCATCTGTCAAACAATGACGCTTCAAGATTTTAAATTTGTGGACTCAGAGGATCTTGAAACGTCGAAAAATGCAAAAACATTTGTAGTTTTTTTTCTGTTTGTATGGATGTTAACGTATATGTGGAGTATGATTTTGTTCATCCTGTTTGAACCTTAATAACTCTTGTGCTTTTTCAAAAATTTCTAAAATTTTGCAGGGAGGATTGGATATTAGGAGAATTAGTGCTGTTAAATCTTAGTTGTTAAAGGTCGAGGGGGTGGGGAAATAAAAGAGATCGAGTGTCTTATCTTCACTTAATAACGATTTTACTCGTTATTAGCATTTACAATTTCTTATAATAACCATCCCTATCATGAAAATTAAGCTTTTTGCCATTTTATAATAATTAGAAATATAAAAAGTTATTTAAATAACATATCATAACAGATAGCGCCGGGAAAGTTAAATAACTTGTTGCTAGATTTTTTTTCTTTCTTCATAAATATAATTAATCAAGTGTTATTATTTTCAGACATTCTTTTAAATTTACAAAAAAAATCTTACAGATCAATCATTGTTTAAGAATATTTCATTAATCTTGTTAAAGACCATAAAATGTCTTTTCATATTTCACTTTTACGGTTTATTGAAATTTAAAGGTGGCGAAGTTAATGTTAGAATATCGATTTGATTGGTTTAACTAGAATGATTAAAAGCGAAAATTTTAAAACCCGATGTAACTCTCCAATAAAATATTAAATGGGATAAGAAAAGTAATTAATGTTCTCACAGGTTTACTATACAGGGTGACTGTAGTCTCGATCAGTTTTTGTGAATATGGTAATGAAATATATTTGTATGCAGGTCGTGCAAAACATAATGATCGAATAAGAGAGAATCGCTGTTGTTTGAACATGTTTTAGTACACTAACGTACATGAAACGTAACGACTAATTTTACCTACAAATTCATGAAGTCTGCTCCTACCAATGTCGATACCAGACAGTTGGTTACCAAATTCAGGCTAATGGGTCATGTACAATACATGATACACAAAGTTCCAGGAGACTCACCATACCAAACTATACGGTTTAACGTGTATAAACTGCAACAACACAGAGTTTACGTAATCAACCAGAAGACTAAGCAGTTGTTCAGTGTGCCATAACCAAGCCTCCAAATGTGGAAGATCTTTCCTTACCGAGTCATTAAACCTGCATAGTGTGTGAATAACCTGGAGGAGGAAAAAAGGACTATGCCACCAACTAAGAGATAAACTGCAATATCTTGAAGGCTGTGGAGTTGGAGGATGGGGGAAGGGGTTGGAAGCGATCTCCAATGGACTTTACCAATTATGAAATAGTGGTTGAAATCTCGCTAATGGTTATATCTTCGTTTAAATTCAATTACTTTCTATTATTTTAATAATTTCCAAGTGTTCTATATAATTTCCTTTTAATAATATATATATTTTTTTCTTTTTTGAGAATTATGACTTCATTTAGTGAGATCTAGCAATCTTATAACCTTATAACCTCATGACAAAGTATGGCAACTGCTGAATTGGTATAATTATATTTTATTGAGCATATATGCTCTCTTGTTCTAATTTTCAGTACTCTTCCAGTTTCACCTATTTATATTTTGGTTGACAACTGCAAGAAATTCTTTATATAAAGTTATTTTGTTGCATCGTATCAATTTTTTTATCAATAATTTCTTTAATTTTTAACAATTTTTTAACGTTATTATACTGAAACAAGGGCAATACTGTATGGTTTTAATGAAATTAACCTGACTATTATCAACCTAAGTGAATATTTGACTTAAGTAAAGATCCTATATAAATAGAAACTTTTAAAGCAGTTTTCAACTGTATTAAAAAGTTCTTTTGTTTGATAACAATATTACAAGAATTATCAACAATATTACAAGAAATTTAAAATAAAGATGTCGCGTCGTTGGGAAATGTAAGTAGAGAGTTACATTAATATATACTGTAAAAGTTAAAATTTGCTTTGATACATAATATAAATAAAAAGATGAACATAGGAATCACACTGAAGAGTGGAACAGGATTCACAAAACACCTGTATGAAATAAGTATGAAACAAAAATAAAACAAAAAATGCGATTTTGGTAGTATTAATGCTCATTCTGGTAAAAATAAATTTAAAATAAAAAACATGCTTCCGAAAATGAAAGACTATTATGAAACTTTCAAAAAATTTGTTATTTGAAAGCTTAATATATTTAATTTGTTAATAGATATGAATAATATTCTGTAGTGATAATGTTACGCACTAAATTAAACTAAATATTTCTTTTTTCACGTATTAAAATATTTTACCTAAATTAAATATTCTATATATAAAAACTTATTTTTGAACTATCATTATGTTTTTTACGATTTTACATAATTGACATTTGTTATTTTCAGAAAAACTCAACGAAAAGCACTCAAGTGAGAAAAATGGATTAACTTTTATGAACTTCTTTAGAGAATATTTCGCTGAATTTCTTTCTTATCCCTTCACCAAAGTATTGGTTATTATTTTGTATATACTTAATCTTACAATAGGTATTTGGGGAGTAACGTTTCTACATGAAGGATTAAATACTTTTACGTTTTATCCAACAGATTCTAAAATAACAGAAGGATATCGAATGTTTTATGACTACTTTACTGAATTTGCATTTCCTGTTCATGTTGTCATCAACAAAACATTAGATTATTCTCAGGATGACGTTCAGAAATCCATTGAAAATTTAATGATAAAACTCATATCTCACCCAAACGTCGCCGGTTCGGAATTCGAATTTTCCTGGTTGAAATATTACAAAGAATTTCAGAATCATCCAGTATCAAAATTCGCCTTGAGAGGTTATGATATGACGCGAAAACAAGATTTTATTGACGGTCTTCGCAAGGTGTTCTTGAGAATTAAAACAGCCGAACAATTTTCAAGTGATATAGTATTTAATAGTAATTATACAGATATCATATGCAGTCGATTTTTCTTGCTAACGAAAAATATTACTCATAGAGAAAGTGAGCGTACAGTAATTACAGATATGTGGAAAATTTCAGAACAATCAGATTTACCAATTATTATCCATTCCTGCTTTTCTTACTCGATAGAACAAAGTATTATTACTAAACAAATTACTCTTCAGTTATTTTGGTTAACAGCTGTTCTATTATTTCTTGTCTTCATTTCTTTTGTTCCAAACGTTATTTGTGCAATAATTGTTGCAATAGCTGTTGTTTCAATAATTGTCGAAACTGTTGGATACATGTCGTTATGGGCTGTTAACCTTGACGTTTTTTCAATGATGATCATAATACTTTGTAACGGATTTTGTGTTAATTATCCGACTCACATTTCATATGCTTTTCTGACTTCGTCACATTCAGATTCAAAAGAAAAGCTTAAAGAATCGCTTTATCACGTTGGTTTTCCCATACTGCAAGGTTCGATGTCAACAATTATAGTATCACTAGTATTTCTGTATAATAATATGTATGTATACATAACATTCGTAAAAATCATCGTTATTATATCTCTACAAACGTTTTTCCATGCTGTGGCCGTTATTCCTGTATTTCTTAGCATATTATCTCATTTACTTGAAAAGAAATATAAGATTAATTGTTTTGATAGTGTTAAAAATAAATATAATTCTATTCGGAATGTTGAGAATTCAAAGTAAGAGTATGAAACTGCATTATTATCAGTAGTGTTGAAGTCTCTATAGAAATCAGTAAGGGATAAATACGTTTCTATGTTTTTTAAATCAGAGACGTTATTATAACCAGCTTTTCAAAAACAACATTAAAAGAACGAATTCGTGGAATTTGCTTTGTGAGATTTTTTTAAATCTGTAAGTCTAATGACACAAAAATCACCATAGTATTGTACAATTTAGTCTTTGTAATAGCTATTTTCAATTTTTTATGAATTTGAACGACTTATCAAAGCGCAGATTTTGGAAAATTGACTGCGATTTTATTAAATCAATATGTGTATTTGGGCCTATTATTACGTTTCAATAGTTGGCTTTATTCAGAATATCGATTGTAAATTAGAATTTAATGTGAAATGTAATTTTGAAAAAACAAAAATACCCGAGATAAAACCAACTAATGAAAGACATCATTTTTATGCTTTCGTTTTTTACTTCTCTTTTCATTTATGAAATAAACTTAGTAAAAATGTATATCATCATCGATGCCTGCTTACTACTGTCGTGGGTTGGCATGCATAAACTCGTCGAATGACGCAGTAACACGTTTCTCTAATGTCAAATTTTTGCATGCATTAATGGTAACAATAAAGTTATTTTATATGCAGAAAAGTACAAAGTAAAACTGGTAATTTGAGGTCGTAACAAACGCTATTTAAAGTACTTCTTAACACTTCCACTACTCTGATATCTTAACGAATAAGAATCATGTCGAAAAAATGTTTCTAATTTCTGTTTATGGTAAATGCAACATTTTACAGTCTGCTATTTCTTTTATAATGTTTTTCATTTTGTTCAACGTGACCTTTGTGATTATATTAAGACGGTTGTTTTGAGTTTTCGATTTGCTTCCTTCATGGCTTCTAATCCATCCTGTTATCATGTCAGTTTTCTATCCCAGGATTTCGGCCAGTTTTTAAATTATATTATGTTTTTTTAGTCTATCACGTACACTACAATAATACACATACACTCTTCTAACGAGCGTTCGAATTAAAGAAAAGCAATGCAAAAATTACATACTCGAGATAATAAAAACCAATAGCAACTTTTAAATGTTACATGCTATAAATTGTAAAAACACTTTAAATTCTTAGTACGTACAAAAGGTCTAGAATAAACGTTTATGTTACCTTTATGTAAGGTGTGTTTTTTAATCAGTTATTTCTAGATACAGCTCCATATACTATGTTGTATTATCTATATTTATGTTATATTCTCTATACTTATGTAAATTAGTTCAGTACATTGCTAATATAAATAAATTTATAAATTATGTTTAAAATTTGGTTTTAAATGTAACACAAACATTAATTACAATTGACACATTTTTATCAATCATTAAGAAGTTATTTTATTTTAAAATAAATGAATACGATAAATCATGAAATAGTTATATTTTAAATAAATATATTTGTATAAATTTTAAATAAACTCGTTTTGCGACGAAATATTTTGAGTAAATTTTCAATTACAAAATTACTACTAGATTATTAAATGGAAGGTTATTATACACAGCCGGTTTTATAACAGCCAATCATTTTAAACTTCTGAAGTCTTAACATTTTATGTATTAAACACTAAGAACACAATGCCAAAAAATAGTGAACTTTCAGATGCTGAAATTCGAAATATATATGAATTACGAGGTGCTGGAAAGTTTCAGAGAAATAGTTACAATAATTAATTATTGTAAAACTGCTATGACCAATGTATAGAGAAAACAAGAAAATTTTAGGAAATGGAGAGAAGTGGACACAAGAAAAAATTAAGTGACAGATATAAACGAAACATTTTTTTTCCTTACAAAACAACAAGGAAATTATCAGCTAACAACTGGACAGGTAGCTGCAAATTTACCAAAATCTGTGTCCATTCAGACGATGTGGTAACATAAAATAATGTACACAAGAAACAAAGATTTCAATAAGCTAAATCTGTCATAAGCTGGACCGAGGAATTGGAAAACGTTGTGTTTTCTGATGAAGAAAGTATAATTTAGATGAACCAGATGGTTATGGATACTATTGGCATAATGTGAAAAGAGAGCCCAAAGTTAGAATGAGTAGTTCAGTTAGGAAGCGGCAATGTAATGGTTTGAGATTCAACGGAAAAACTGATATTGTCGTTATTAATGAAAACATGGATTCTTCAAAATATCAGGATATGTTAAAAAAAATTTCATCGCATTTGAACTTTTAATTGATGGAAGTAATTAGATATTTCAACGAGACAATGCTCTATTCCATGCATCAAAATTAACTAAAGTCTGGTTTATTAATGTAAAACATAAAAAAATGCATTAGACTGGCAAACTAGAAGTCCATATATTAGTCCGACAGAAAATTTATGGAATATAATAATGAAAATAGTTTATGGTCAAAATAACAATTATTATTAAGTAAACAAGTTAAAATTACATATTATGGATGAATGAGAAAATATTGAAATAAAACAAATGCAAATTGGATTCAAACGACATGTATGCCTGATAGAGTAGTTGATGTTATTCAAATGATAAGAGGTCAAATTAAATAATAAATTATATGAATTTTGCCAAAATATGGTGTCCTTATAATTGTTACATTTCAAAAATAGTTGAAATTATTTTAACTATCATCAAACATTAATGACAATGATTTTTACTATTTTGTTTCGTGTTTGTTCTGTATCTAAAATTTCAAAAGTATATTACAAATTAAAGTTAAGTAATTAAAACTCATAATTGTCCTCATAACTCTGTTACAAGATCAAAAGCGAAAGCTAACAACTGTAAAAGCATCAATTTATACTTATTATTTTAAACGTGTACCTTTCTAAAAGTTCTGCCTTTGTCCCTTAATTCGTTTAATTTCTTTTGTAATTCAGAAACTGCGACATTTCTTAAATCCTCATGTTTATAAGCAGGTGAAACTGAACGGGGAGTTTTCTACTGTTCACTCACCTTGAGAGTTTTAAGTGCTAAAATTCGCGTAAAATTTGTTCTTTCATCATTAGTTCCCTTATTTCTCCCGTCTTCACCCCTTTGCCCGGAGAATAGATCTTTTGACCCCGCCAGTTCGGTCCAATGAAGTACGAACCTGTGTATAATCGATAAGCGCCGTCGTAACTTATCATTTGCATTTTCAGGACACTTCTAACTTAGACTTTCTTAACGATAAAGTCGACAAAAACGCATGGTTAGATTAGACTAGGGGTCCCCAAAGTGGTCGATTAATACACGAGGGTCGAAAGGAGGTCGATTAATACCAAAGATGATCAATTAAACTATCTAGGTAAAAAATAGAATATTCCAATAAAAATTCGAAATACGGATATGATCTACAACATTACTGACAACCCTAGTTATAACTTGAGTTTTGCCTTAGCCTACGCCGCTTTAAGCATGTGTTACTCTGTTTTCACGCATCTGGCAACTGTACTAGTGTTACAAACATATTAAGATCACTGGTAGTTCATTACACACAGACATACGTTACATTGTTACACTAGAGTGTAACAGTGCAACTTATGTCTGTAGGGTTGTCACGCTAAATATTTTATATCTAAATGTAGATATTTTGTCCTTTACAGAGAAAATATCGTAATATATCGAAAATCATTAATATAGTACATAAGCGTTTGCGAGGAAAAAAAAGTTACAATTGTTCAAGCTCGAACAATTATAATGGCCTTTCAAGTAAAAATGGAGCTATTTAAATCTTCACTGGCACGATCCAATTTTATATATTTTTCAAACTTGCGAGTACTAAAAGAAAATGAAAATATAATCTCCATATAAACCGGGGAGGAGACGAAAGAAAGAAAAAAAAAATGAAAAAAATTCCTACCGTGATTTGGAGATATATATTAAACATATTGATAAATTAAAAGAAGACTTTAAAGCACGTTTCAAAGAATTGGAGAATATGCATGTTTCCGAATGGTTTGCTAATCCATTTGATATAAAAATAGATAATGAAGGTAGTGAACCTGGCTTAGAAGATAAACTGAGTGAAATATGTGTAGATCTCGAAACTAAAGCGTTGTTTAAAAATAAAAACCTCGGTGAATTTTGGAGCAAAAACAATATTGCCACAAAGGGTGCGTTTACTTCTGAGCTAATAGTGCTACTTCCGAACACCGGAAGTGATGTCATTAGCATGTGTATTCGCGTTTACATGTCCAGTTCGAAAGTAAACGCGAACGCTAACAAGAAATATGGCGGTTTCCTGCAAATAATATTGTCAAAGCTGCTATTTTAAATCTTACGTTACAGATATAACTACTTGATTCCGAATCGGACGAGGATGATTTTATTGTGGATATAATTGTAGAAAAATGAAAAAAGAAAAGTAAGGTAAAATAAAAAAGATAGAAACTTTTATTGAAGAGACTCTACCCTTTTATAAGCCAACTGATTTTAAACAACCTTAGACTTACAAGAGAAAGTTTTGAAATTCTCCTCTAAAAAATAAGCCCAATTATAGACACCGAAAAATTACTTCCTCTGGAAGACGACCCGTGTCTCCTCAAAAGCAGCTTTTACGCTATCTATGGACATTGGCAAATCAAGAATCATTCAGGTTTGTTTATACGAAGTAATATATGAAATTAGATGCAGTTTATAAGAGAATAGTAGATTATACATACATATAATACATATTTAAAGCAATTGTTTTACCCAGTGAATAGATGTGACGTTGTTTTGTTGTGGTGTAACTAAACTGAGTTCAAAATTAACAAATAATTGATATTAAATACAAAACACTTTTTCTTTCTTTCCTCTAAGGGTATTGGCGATCGTTTTAATATGTTTAGACGGACTGCGTGGAATATTTTAAATAAAGTTGTTAATTCTTTCTTACAAGTTAGTGTTAAATGAAAATGAAAAATGATCTCTTGGCCATCACACAGCAGGATGATGTAAGGAATTTTTTATACCCAATCTGGTTTTCCTGGAATTAGAGGCTCTATTAATGAAAAGCATATGGCTATTAAGACATCAACTGAAGAAGCAGTAGCCTATTTCAATAGAAATAAGCATTACTCTGTCATCATATAACTTTAGTTTGTAATAGAAAAATGGTATTCAAATAATACAATTTCTTGAGAAGTCATTTCCCATATGTAAGTGAAAATTCATTCAAGTATACAAACTTATGTAATTTTGGATTACAGTATTATTAATGCTGTTCATTTCTTTACGATTTATTTAATGCTCTGAACATAACATTTCTGAAGATTCCAAATGCGTATTAGGTAAACCTCACTTTTAATTATAAACAATGAATTCGAACTTAATTTTTTCACATTAATTAACTCTGTTTACGAATAAAGCCATCTAAAGCTATTGAACCTTACAATGAAAAAAATATCATTGTAAACATTTTACACAACAAACAATTGAAATTTACCAATAAAAATACTTTCTGCCGTTTATATTTCGAAAACTAATTCCATCTTTAGTACTTTGTACAGAAAGTAATTTTTTTATGAGAGCAGCCATAGTGAATTAGCGCAAAGCTCGATAACGAACTAGCTAGCACTCCGAGCTTACCAATTTCGCTACACATGACGTTACATAGCTCTAAAGTAAACGCCAATGAGCGTGGCACTCGGACAAAAAGTATACAGGCTGAGCGTGCTGATAGTAAAATTAGCTCAGAAATAAACGTACCCTAAATATCTTAAGCTCAGAGTAGAAGCCGAACCTTTCTTACTTGCGTTCCCAACTTCATACATGGCTGAAGCTGGTTTTAGCCAAGCGAACGCAATTTTGACAAAACAGAGGAACAGATTGAACTTGGAAAACTGTGGTGATTTGCTTCGGTTGAAAACTTATCAATTTTCAACCGAATATCAATAATCTTGCTGTTTCTCTTCAGACACATCCATCCCACTAATATCAACTATTTTAATAAAAAGGTATGTTAATTAACATATTTTTAAGGCATTCAGTAGTAGTCGCAACATGACAGTAAGAGATTTTTTTCATCCAATATAACTTATGTTATGTTTTCAAAGATAATTGTGTTTTACGTATTATGACACGTACGGTTTAAAAACTACAAGGCTTGTATAGGCAAATTTCCATTTATCCATAATTTTGCTATTATTTTTTAAGATTATAAATCAGTGGAAAATATCTCCGTTTTCTGTTAATGTTATTGGGTGGATTTCATAAGAAATGGGAACTATAAATTGTTTTGTTGGGTTGTTATGCAGGTCTCCTTATCGCTTAACATCAGAAATGCAGAAATGATTTAATGTTTTTGTTAAATATATAATCTGGGGGTCGATAAGAAGGCAAATATTCTATAAAGGGGTCGACGGGATAAAAAGTTTCGGGACCCCTAGATTAGACGCTCTTTTGTGTAATATAAAAAGCTTGAGAAAATGCCTAAAGCTATTTCAAAGGACATTAGGGAATTAGTTATTCAGCATAGAGAAGATGGCAAAACTGTTAAAGAAAAAAGTAGAAATGTTTAAGATCAGCAAGCGAACAGTTTATAAAATCTGAAAACAGAAGATTGAAAGCGGAATTGTTTCACCAAAAAAGCCGAAGGGTCGTTTAAAGTTTACTACCGCAGAAGAGGATGCACAGTTAAAACAGGGTTGTGAAGAAGACCCATTTATGACTGCCAGAATACTTAAATCCGAGTTATCTTTACCTATTTCCATAAATAGGTGACCATGACCGTTCTATCCTTGAGTTTCGAAGTAGCCCCTCATGACAGATATAGGATTGAAGCTCAGCAACGGTGGGTGCAACAGATAGGGAAATACATGACCTCAGGACATGTAGAAGGTGACAAGATGGACGAGTACTCTGCTTTTGCTCCAGAAATATTATGTTCCTCCCCGTCAACGGAGCTAGGGAGCAAACACGTGGAAGAGATACGTTCCCCTTCCACTTCACCTCCAGCATCCAACACCACTGATTCATCGACTGATTCAGAATCAGATGAATCGTCCGATGCATCATCGCCCCCTGCCAAAAAGACGGAGGCGATTCTGATATTAACTCCTGCTATACCCTGGAAATATCTTAATTACATATAGAAATATTTTTGTAATAAACTGTTATGTGTATTACAACTTTTTCAGATAATGTCAGAAAATAACAACCGGCCAATGCCTGCTAATATCCAGGAGGCGTGTCTGTTATATGCTGCCCGAAGAAGGAGACACTTCTTAGCAGAAGAGGAAATGCAGGAGCGACCTCACACTATAACTCTTAACATAGAGTGTACACTCCAATTGTCAACAATAATGCAACTAATGCAAATAATCTGTCAAGGAATCGTCCCCATTCCCAGCCGAGAAACAGAATACAGCATCCCCACAGTATCCCATTAGAATTCGCCACTCTGGACCCATATTTATTGCCGGACGACATCATCAACCAGAATGAGTCGCCCACTAGACAAGCAGAACGGTACCGCCAGGAGAGAGCAGCCTCTCCTCCTAGGCGAGTTACCCGATCAGTAACCAGAAGACGACGTCTGAATCGTCAGGTCCCCCATCAACAATAGATGGACTCGTTAGAAAGTGTACGATTGAACCGTTTACAGTCCTCGAAAAGCACCATTGACATGTAACCGGCTATGTAGAATAAACAGCAGGTAGATACAACAAAAGAGTCTTAAGAAAGATAATGGTGTAACTAATAGGACATTCCCAAATAAAATAACCACAAAAGTGCCTGGACCCCTATGTATTTGTTTTCCCGGCACCGCCTTATTCCTTTTGTTACGCGAAACATATAAGTTAAAACCCAGAAAACCCTTTTTGAGGTGTTCTTTATCATTTTTAGGATAATCAAAATAATTATTTAGAAGCAACTTTGAAGTTTATGCCTGGTGCATTTGACTGTGATGTAATTTGGCAAACTCACTTTACACTTCATCACAGACTATATACTGGACAGAGTCGCAGTAACATGTCTAGAGGTTTGTTTTATAGATTCTTTAAAGTTTATTATTATTTAATGTCAGAATTTGCAGTAAATATGTAAATACAGTAGATCCCCCTATAAGATGGTAGATACGTTCCGTTCTTTATGAATCAATTTTGTAGGAATCATAGTTTACGGACTACGGCTGTTTGAAAGGTTTTCTTTCATAAAATTAATCGATTCTAGACTAATTCGACTTAACATTTCCAAAATACGTATATTTTTTNTTAGTAATATGATAAATTTTATATATCCTGTGTATATATATATATATATATATTCAACAAGACGTTTGATAGTACGAATAATAGACGCAATTGATAGTACGAATAATGTGCCCGAAAATTGAATTTTCGTCTCCCGGCAGCAACTTTTAACTAATGTTAAAAGCAAATGCTTGAACTTGTCCATCCAGCTGTAGAGAAAGGAAAGAGTTATCAAACCAGATGATGATAATTTACAAGTGGGAATAAGTTCCCCTTTGCTAATATTCACCCGTTACTAAATTATATCGGGTAGAAATACGTATTGAGCCGTTTTACCTGGATTCAAACATCCCTATTGTTTCCAGAACCAAACGGATGATCAGGCAGAGAACCTTCGTAAGATAAGACGAATAAGTTGTTGCTAAATTATAAGAATCATATAAAAACACACAGTAATCTTCAAAAAAAATTTGTACTGTGGTTTTTAAGAAAGAGGAGAGTGATGTAACCATTCCGGACCGCTATCCGATGGTGCTGTCCGCCGAATTAATCTACCAGTTGGCCGAGGCCAGGTAGAGTACATAACATCGCTGGACCTTTGTAAGGGGTACTGGCAAGTGCCGTTGGAAGCAACTAGCAAACACCTCACCGCGTTTGTCACCCATCATGGTCAGTTTGAGTGGGAAGTCATGCCTTTTGGGTTAAGAAATGCAGCTGCAACATTTCAAAGGCTGATGGATTTGGTGTTGGCCCCTTTTAAAATCTTTGCTGTAGCATATATCGATGACGTAGCCATATACTCGCAGAGTTGGCCAGAACATCTACACCACATTAAGATGGTCTTAGGAGCATTAAGGGACACGGGACTGACGATCAATGTCAACAAATGTCAGTTTGCCAAACTGCACATCTTATATCTCGGGCATGTTGTAGGGATAGCCCATAGCCGGGTCGTGTCAACTTGTGCTCCGTCTTTCGATCGTCACATCAGCGTTCCAGAGCTTCAATCCACCGACTGTTATACATCGTTAGATTCAGCTAGACGACCACTTTTGATTGATGTATAGTTTTTTTGGATCTGACCAGCCGTGACGGAATTACAGAACCCGGAATATTTTGGATTTTCCACAACTCTTTCCGGCCCGATTCCGCCGGTAGGTTGTTTTGTTTTACATCATTAGATAGGGGGTTTTCCGCCCTTTCGGACGGTGACTTTCTTTTTTCGGGCGACGTGCCATTTCCATTTTTTGGCGACCGAAACTTTTCGGGTTTCGGGCTTATCAAGCCACCGGAGCCGCTCTCCTTTGGGTGTTCCTTTAGTTAGCGTAATAGCTATCTGGCGTTAAAATCTCGTCTCGTTATTTCTATTTTTAAGGAGTTACGTCGTTTTTAGATTGGGAGAGAACAAAGGGACCAAAGGTCATTGACCTTAGCATGTGGCCGGGTTAGTCTCCCCTTACTGACCCCTTTTCGTTCGTTTTCTCGACTTTCGCTGGTCGTCTCCTGGTGTTTTATATACCAATCGACCTGTTATTAATTCTACTTTTATTTGTATCATATATTTTTCCTCATTTTTTATTTGAACGTTTTTTCTCACTTATTAAATATTTAACTATAATTTTGTGTTACTTTACCTTTTTCACNTTTTCCTCATTTTTTATTTGAACGTTTTTTCTCACTTATTAAATATTTAACTATAATTTTGTGTTCCTTTACCTTTTTCACATCTTATAAGTTATATTTTATTCGATTACTACTTTTAGCATTTAGTTATTTGGATATTATATCATATAGCATAATTTTCATTTAGTTTTATCCATAGTTTGATTTTTATTTCTATTTCCTTTCATACTGTCTCATTGAGTGCATACTCGGTGTTTCAGTATTGCCTGGGCACTGTGCCAGCCTTTATCATTACACACATCCTTCTTTTATATTATTATATCACTATGCCTACTTTTGATACATCACTCATTGCGCCAAGAGCTACATTAACTCCTCTTAACGAGGAGTTGGAGGGAAGAAGAAAGGATTTAGGGCAAAGTAGTACTGACATACCGGAAAATACCCTTCTAAAAGATGCCAATAGGCTTCTTGGGATTGTTCTAGAGCTCTGCCCGGAACACACCAACACGAACATCAAGCAGAAGGAAAGAATAAAAATAAGAGAAAGTGTAGCAAAACTTTTCGGCTATTTGCACGAGATGCACGCCATAGTCAAGGAAGTAAGAAAGAATACCAAACCACAACAAAACGAGATACAACCAACATACAGTGAAGTAACGAAAAGAAATATAAGACCGAGTGAAACAACAAGGAAGATAAAAAGATCATTAGATCAGAAAATAAACATTGAGGGCACAGGAGGCTCACACGCAGTGCTTCTGTACCCAAAAGAACAGGAGGACGGCAAACTGATAAATATGAACGAGGTAACTGAAGAACTCAAAAATAAAATAGAACCACAGAAGTTAAAAACCAAGATTACAACAGTGAAAGAGATAAGGGATAAAGGACTGTGTATAAGAGTAGGGAATAGGAACCAGAGTAAAATTCTGGAAAGAGCCATAAACGAAATACCGGACATGAATAGTAAAATAATATGTAAAAAATCGGAGGGACGTCGGCCAAGAGTAATACTCCTAAATGTCCCACAAGCAATACCAGAGGAAAAAATACTGACATACGTTCACAGTCAAAATAATATCTGGAACGAAATAGAGTTAGAAAAATTTAAGGAGGAGTGCAGAATAAGCACGATAATAACCAGAGGAAATCAAAAACCAAACTGTAGACACGTGGTTTTGTCCGTAACATCACAAATAATAAACATTTTCATTAGAGAGAAACACATATCCATGGACTGGGCAACGATAAAGGTAGACGATTCTGTACCAATTTTAAGATGTTACAGATGTTGTGGAACAGGGCACAAGGCAAGAACCTGCACTAATAAACAACATTGCAGTCACTGTGGTAAGGACCATAAATTCTTAAAGTGTGACAGATTAAGGGAACCACCATGCTGTATTAACTGTCACAATGAAAACAAACAACAAACTAATGATAAAAAAAATCCGACAAATAATAGTGCCTTACACCCGAACTGCCCAATAGCAAAAAGAATAGAAACGTAGAACCGATTATGGACTATAAGGATATAACCGAAATTACTAAAACACCAACAGCTAAACGAAGGATGGAAGGGAATAAAAAAATAAAAATACTAAAAATAAATGTTCAAAGAAGTAGAGCAGCAAGCTCAATTGTGATAAAAACAGCCAATGACTTAGATATAGACATAATAACCATACAAGAACTAAACACAATTAACAATAAGATTACCCGTTTTAACAACTGGAGAATAATAACCAACAGTAAACAGAAAAATCCAAAAAGTGAGATTATTGTCAGGAAAGAAGAAATTGATATTATGTTAATGCCTCAATACAGCAATGACATTATTACAACGGTCATCCTAAACCAAAAAAACCCAATTATTCTTGTAAGCATATATTTCTCACCATATTCCAACAATCAGGAGAGCATAAACCAATTAGAAAAAATTTTACGGGAATTCAGAGATAAAGACATTATTGTTACGGGAGATGCAAATGCAAAGTCCACCTGGCAAGAAGACGAGAGAGGAAGACTGCTTAATAACTTGATGGACGAAATAAACATGGTGTCATCCAACATGTCAACCATACCTACCTTCTACACTGGTTTCGCTGAGGGTTGGACAGATGTATTCTTAAACACTAATGATATTATCCACAAAATTCTCAATTGTGAAACGCTTCTATGGACATCAGTGAGCGATCATCGATACATCTTAACAGAACTACAAATTGACCACCAAACGACTAAGAGGAGTATCACATATAAAAACATAAACTGGAATCTCTTTCAGGAAAAATTTGCGGAAAAATGGAGGAACTACCATTCACATAAAATAAAGAATAAAGAAGAATTAGAACAATATGTGAAATACATAACACAAATTATAAAAGAGTCCTGTGAAGAAACAATGCATTTCAAGAAAGCCACTATTAACAAAACAATATGGTGGACAACAGAACTTACAAGAAGGAAAAAGGAAATAAGGAGATTAATGAAAAAAAAAATAGATAAGATCACAAACGAGAATGAAAAAAGAAAGGGAAAAGAAGATTATAATAAGGTATTGAAATTACATAAAAAGAAAATAAATAAACAACATAACACCACCTGGAGAGAATTTTGTGGAAAAATAAACAATAAAGACCCTTGGGCAACCATACAATATAATATTTAAAAGGCAGGCGAAAACACACATTCCGGACATAATCAGTGATCAACCAAACATCAATGTGGAAGATAATATTAAACGTATCCTAGACTTTCATTTTCCAAATGATCAGCAATCGGAGGACTTAGAAATACATAGGGAAATAAGACACCAAGCACAACAAAAATCATCAAATGAGGAAGATAATATTTTCACATTCAAGGAAATAGAGAAGGCAATTAATACACTAACAAACAAGAAAAGCCCAGGAATAAATCAAATAACCGCGGAGATAATCAAAAGGATTTTTCAGCATATTCCTATTGCACTGGTACATCTATTTAATCAATGTCTTAAACTTCAACACTTTCCGACAGTGTGGAAACAAGTAAATGTTAAACTGATACCAAAAACTGATAATCCGGAAAAACCCGATGACTATAGACCTATTAGTTTCTTACCCGTAATGGGGAAAATATTGGATGGGCTGATCATCAAAAGGATAATTTGGCATCAACAAAACAATAACCTCATGAACAGTAATCAACTTGGTTTTAAACAAGGGAGATCAACGATAGATGCAGCAATGAAGGTAAAACAATTCATTAACACAGCATGGAACAACGGACAACATGCAATCCTAATAAAAATTGATTTCAAGAAAGCTTTCGACTATATGTGGTGGCCAGTATTATGAAAAGACTAAACAAAATAAAGTGCCCAAACAACTTAAAAAACATAACTAAGGACTACTTAATGGAAAGAAAGGCAGGGTATTACACAAACAGCATAACGGTGAAAAAACAATAGCCAGAGGGTGCCCACAAGGCTCCAAGAGTGGACCAGGTCTTTGGAACCTGGCATTTGATGGGTTATTGAACAGGATACCAAATACTGATACAATCCGGATACAAGCATTTGCAGATGATGCATTGGTTATGGTCGCAAATAACAACTGTGACATGTTAAAGGAAGAGGCAAACAAAATACAGTAGAACCTCGAAAACTCGGCTCTCGATAACCCGGCACTCCGGATAACTCGGCCACACCTGGCAGGGCAAAAAAATCCTTAGTTAATTAATTTTCATTATAGACAGCTTTATGCTCTCATAAAGTATTTTTCTGAGGTCTGTCTTATCAGGTAAATTACTGTACACAGTGTATTCATTAATTTTCATTTTCATGTAGTAAAGGCTCTATGCCTTCATAAAGGACGTACTTTTCCTTTGTTTAAGGGTATTTGGGCAGTTTATTCTTTGTTATATTGTCAAGTAACCAATACATACAAGTACAGTACAGTATTTTCTGAGGAAACACTCGTACTTATTTTTTTAACCCCATTCCCGATAACCCGGCATTTTCACAAACTCGGCCACCCTTCAGTCCACATTAGGCCGAGTTTTCAAGGTTCTACTGTACTAAAAATCATAAACGATTGGAATATCAAATATAAACAGCACATCAACCACTCTAAATGTGAGGCACTAGTCTGCACAAGGAAAAACTAGAGAAGACAACTGAAAAAACCAATTGGAGTCAAAATTGGGGGAAGAAATATCAAAAATGTTTAGAGTATCAGATATCTGGGAATATTCTTTGATAGAAAACTAAATTGGAAAAGTCACATACAAGAAATCTACAAGAAAATGGTTGAAAAAGCTAACTTAATAGAACAAATCAGCAGGAACACATGAAGGATAAATTCTACAAATGCTCGATTGATCTACAAAGGAGACATAGAGCTGGGAGTGCTGTACGGAGTTCAAGTATGGGGAGAAGCACTGCACACCATTCACAATAAAAGAAAATTAATATCCATCCAAAGGAAAGCCGCCATTCGAATTTGCAGGGCTTACAGGACGTCTCCCACCGATGCCCTACTAGTAATTGCAAAAATTAAACCTATCCACTTGATAGCAAAAAAGATCATCTGGGAGAGGAATCTTTTAAAGGAGAATATACATAATAAAACAGAAAATGAAATAAAGAAGGAAATAAAAACAAGAAACCTCTCCAATAATGTTCAATTATTAAAAATGATTATTAATCATGACACAGAAGACATAGATAAGGCCACAACAATAAGAAATCCAGCAAAAAAAGAGAGTTACACTATCAACATGAACTATCAAGAAAACATAAACAAAGGGACATGAACAAATATATACACTGACAAGTCACGCACATCGGATGGTGTAGAAAGTGGCATAATAATAAAAGGAAAAAATGACCGGATAACTTGTCAAGCATCACTGAAAATTGCCAACCATTGCACAACAGTACAAGCTGAAAGTTTTGCGATTTACAAAGCTCTTGAATACATCGAGAAGAACAAGAACCAACGCAAAGGTGACATAAACATTTTCACGGACAGTCAGATGACTCTGCACTTGCTTAAAACGAAGAACAGAAGAACAAAACTAATAAACGAGCTAATTGAACTATCAGAGAAAGTCCACAATAAGCAGAAAATCACATACAACTGGATACCAAGTCACAAAGGTCACGACAGAAACGAAAAAGTGGACGCATTGGCCAAACGTGCAACAAAAATCAATACAAAAGAGTGCTACACCAGAATCCTGATCAAGTGAAATCAAAAGACAAATAAGGAATATAACAGACAAACAATGGCAAGAGGAGTGGACTGATTCAACAACTGGCAGACATTGTTACAAATTCTTTCCAAACATCAAAGATAGACTACAAAATAAAAGCTTCAAACCGTCCTTTGGAAGCACACAATGCATTACTGCACACGGCAACTTTAAAGCATATCTTTATCGCTTTAAAAAAACGGTTAAACCTATGTGTGATGTGGACATTGACAAAGAAGACAATGTTCACCACTATATATGTGAGTGCACTAAATACATAAAACAACGAGACAAACTTACTAAAAGTTGTCTACATGCAGGTTACAACTGGCCGCCAAAAACACGGACATAGCGACAAACAAGAACCTAATGAAGGCATTAGAAACGTACATTACAGAAACGCAAGTGCTGGTAAAATTTCCTCACCAAATTCACCAACGTACTGGCCACAACCAGAAAAGTGAACGTGAGGAGAATTCAGAAACAGAAAATGAAAATGAAAACACCGATATAGAAGAAGAAGATTATGAGGACGACAACAGTAAAGAAGAAATAATGACTAGTGAAGAAAGCGAAGACGACAACGAAGACAGCTACACGGACTAACCGACATTGAAAGTATATGTAATTAGGAATTAACAATATAATCGTGTAAACCCATTGGGTATTTTAGTTTGAATGGCAGAAAAAAAAATTGTAAATGGTTAAGTAAACCATAAGTATATAAATTGTAACACATTCTCTTAGGACTTGTAAATTGTGATAGGGTTCTACTGTTATCTTCGCCATTGTAAGGAAAGGTATTGGACGACATGTGGTAGTCCATTCTTCCAACCTTACCCATTAGGTACTGATATCACCATGTTAATGTTGTGTTCTAAATCGAACTACAATAATATATAAGATAAAATTGTCAGGACTTTAATAATTGGATTGTCACAAGTTTGTATATTTATCTGGTTTACAAAGTGTATGATTTTGTTTTAATAAAAGCGGAGCAGGCGCCCATGGGGCCCATGCCTTCCTTCACACTATCCTGTCCTACTGTATTTCACACTTCAAATCTCATGCTTCCCCTTCTTTCAGCTTCCTAAAGGCTAAGTCCAATGCTTAAAACTGGACAGCTCTCTTATCCTTTTATTTGAAGGGCATGTTGTAGGCTCCGGACAACATGCTCCTGACCCTGAAAGAGTCAGAACGATAACCAACTTAGCTCTGCCTAAGTCAAAAGAGCAGCTAAGAAGTTTCTTGGGCATATACGGTTACTATC